CAGTTTGGGCTGGAAATCCTGCACGGACGTGCCAAGTATGGCACAAACGTGCAGCCTGTTCTGCACGGACATGCCAACTTAAGCACGGCCATGCAGGCCTTGTATTATAGAATTAGTAGCTACTGATTTGGGTTAGGCATTCTGCACGGACGTGCAGACTTCTGCATGGACATGCTAGGTATCTTGCACAGACATGCATAACTCTGCACGGACGTACATGCTCTAAAACCCTTAGGTAGAAGGTTCTGACCCTGCTGGAGCACTCTTGCACGGACGTGCAAGGTTTGGCACGGTCGTGCAGGGTCTTCTATGCCCTTTTCTTCCCCTTTTCTTCGGTTTTGCTCCTTTCCTTGGCATCTTTCCATCCTCTTCTTGCTTCTAACCTCGGTTTATTATTCATAGGCTTGATTTGGTCGTCTTTGGACCTAAAATCTCAACAAAAAGCACTAACAACCCGTGAAGCATAGGATACACAAAAATTGCATAATAATAGAGTAAAATGAACCAAAACACAAATTTATGAAGTAAACAAGTTTCAAAAACACCCTAAAATCATATCAAATAGCAAGTTATCAAATCCCCCCAAGCTAAGCTTTTGCTCGTCCTCGAGCAAAACAAACATGCCAAACCAAAGAAGGAAACCAACTTGCTAACATCAAACCAAGGAGAGGCAACAAGGAGGAAGCACAAATACACAAATCTGCATGGTGACAATCATAATCACTTTTAGCGCAAGTGAAAAGCAATTAGAGGACGAGTTTTATCTCGTAGGGGTTTCTAGTGAGCTTAACCCACAACTCACACAAACCACAACAAAACTATCAAACTACACAAATTCCAATGTTTTTATCACCCAAGTCATACAAGTGAGCGACTTTCAAGAATTACCAATCATACAAATGTACACATGAGTTGGGGGTAAAGAGGAGAACTAAGCAAGATTGCACTAGGATACTTCTTTAGACCTTTTACTAGTTCATTAGAGCACATCTAGATATTCCAAAGTTGTAACAAGCCCTCTTTCGGTTATAAAATCTCAAAATGCTAGTCTACCTCCCAAAATGCACACCCAAAGTCCCTTAACTACACTCTAACTCAAGAATTTCACAAGAAACAATATAGTAAACAATGTGTGGGAGGCATCCACAAGTTGACCTCTAAAGAAGAGAAAATCAAAATTTTGAGAATTTTGGGGGAGTTTTTATTCTCCCTTCTTTTCTATGTTTTTTTTCTCCTTTTTTTTTCTTTCCTTTATTTTTCAACATTCATTGCCCTCGCCTCTTTTAATTGTGAACGGCTCTTTCTTTATTTGAAACGTGTGGCTTATTATGCCACTATTACACATGATACAAATAGAGCTAACCCTAATAGAGTTTCATTTCGGGGAGGAGAGGAAGCATATTAAGGGCACAAGGGACCGTAATTCGATTCAAACATATCCTACTTTGGGCAAATTTGACAATATCCTATGCTAGACGTGCAATTGAGCATTCATCGGTTTTCGTTTCATATACTCTAATGCAATAAAGATTAATAGACCTCTAAATGACCCCAACTCTTGCACACACCCTTCTAAAAGAACTTTTACTCATCACTCAAGAGTCAAGCAAGCAAAACATATAAGCATCGTCATTTGAGTCTCATCCTTGAGTACTTTTTTTTTTAATAATTTTTTTTAAAGCGAGAATATTTACAGCATTAAGCTAAGCTAAGCATAAAAATAAAAATAATTATACATCTAAATAAGGAGATAAGAGAGGTATTCACAAGATAAGAGATTTGGATTTAGGGTATTGGATTTCAAAGGGAGCAAATTTGGATTCAAGTGATTTGGGATGTTAGGGAAAGGGAACAAACAACATGCAAATTCAACATGAAAACACGAGAACACAACATGAACCAATGACACATGAGAAAACACTCCCCCCAAGCTATCATAAACATTGTCCCCAATGTTAAAGCAATGCAAGCACAAAGAGAAGGGGAGGAAGAAACTAACTCATTGGTTCGGGCCCCTTGGGAGCTTGAGCCCCTAGGGTAGAGATGCCGGTACACATTGCAGAATTTGCCTAATTCCAATCTGAGACCCTCGAAACTTGATCTCATATTGTCATATGAGGTCTTCATGTCTTCGTTTGACTTTCTCATGGTCTCAAATTTGGTGGTCATGCTACCGAAGTTCGTATTCATGTTGATGATTTGCTGCTTAAATGTGAGGTATGGGTTTTTTTCACCCATCCCTTGACCTTGGTACTCCTCTTGGTACCCTTGTTGGAACTCGTGTTGTTGATCAAATTGTTGTTGCTAAAATTGTTGATGTTGTTGATGATGTTGTTGTTGATGATGTTGTTGTTGCTCTTGTTCTTGCTCTTCTCCCTTTTCACCGGGAGCCCAAGGAAAGTCCTTCTCAAATATCCAGTTGCTTTGGTCATAGATGGCGGTGGTCTCCAGGTCAGGGAGATAGGCATAGGGCCGCCTACTCACCAACCACAAGTAGGGGTGGTTCTCCTCTGCATCCATGAGCCACTTCATGGTCCTTAATGACTACATGTCCAACTGTGTCAAATCAAGGTTAAGAGCAACAACAATAATAGTAATCATGCCACCTATGGTGATGTTGCCGGATCCTGTGGCAACATCCTCAAGGTGGTCTACAAGCCAAGACCCAACATCTAAGCTAGTTCTCCCTTCACTCAAGTGCCAAAGGAAGTAGAGCTCCCTTGTGAATACCACCCCAGAGCTATCCCCCCTAACAAAAGTCGTGTTTACTATAGTGCGCTCAGAGAGTCTAAATGCGGGGTGGATAATGGCGGTGGCCTTATCGGATCAAGGGTTGTACTCAAAAACCCCCGGGATTCTTCTCCAAAGCATTATAACCACGGGGGTGTCTATTATTAAGTTCGATAGTCCCGGTTGTGGGCCACCCAAAATCTTTGTTCACTCTTCTTACAGTCATTTTATGTTCGGTGTTCATGAGTTGGAAGGTTATGTAGCGGGGGGTCCTCGTGGTGTCCCGATGCACATAAAGGGTGGAGAGGAATTCAAGGGTTAGTCTCCTATAGGTTTGGGCATGCAATTGTAACCAAGAACCTAGGTCGGCACCCTCAAACAACATCCTAACATCGTCTCTAACCCCTAGGGCATCGGCTACATTGTCATTGTAAAACTTAGTGGGCCTAATTCGCCTCCTACTATTTCTAAGGAAGTTGACCGAAAAAGGCCGGGTCATCGAAGATTATTCCCATTGTATCCACTTGTGGTGGATCAATGGGAGGAGGAGGCGATGGGTTCCTAAGTCTAGCGGAGGAGGTGTTTCTTGGTTGGTTCCTCCAAGACATGATTGGTTCTTGTGCAAAGCAATTAAACACGCCACAACAATTCAAATCACCACACTGAACACACAAAAGCTCTAGGTCCACCTAGACAAAAATTCAAAGCGCAACACAACACCAACAAACACCACACGAATCACGTTGGGGCTCTAAGTCCACCACCTACAATCAATTTCAAGCAAATCACAAAAGCAACCAAGATGGGCTTCACTATTTTAATTCTTAACAACTCAACACCAAGTTTGCAAAACTCATGCATTCATGTCAACTATTCATCACAACAACACATCTAAGCTAGCATGCTCTTCATTCACAAAATCAATTCCTCCAATTCATACTCACTTACAAACATCTAATTCTCACAAAATTCATGAAACACTATCAAATTCAACAATCCTTAGCATTTATTAACAATCATTCACACACTACCAATTCAAACAACTTTTCAAGCAAAATTAAACACAAATTATCAAGAGTTCAAGCATAGAAGTAGTGAATAGAAGGAACAATTATACCGAGTCTATCGTGGGTGTAAAACCCGCAAATGAACCTTTCTAACCCTCCTTATGCTTTCCCTCCTCTACCATGAAATGACATTTTTCCCAATTCAAAACTAAGTTCACCTCTTGACATCTTTTTAACACTTTAATCAAATTTGAAAGACAAGTGTCAAAAGATGAACCAAAAACAGAAAATTCATCCATGAATACCTCGATTGATGATTCAAGCATGTCAGAAAAGATAGACATCATACACCTTTGAAACGTGGAAGGTGCATTACAAAGTCCAAATGGCATCCTTTGATAAGCAAAGGTACCAAACGGGCATGTGAATGTAGTCTTTTCTTAATCCTCGGGTTGGATTGGGATTTGGAAGAATCCCAAGTATCCATCCAAGAAGCAATAATGACTATGTGATGCTAGTCTTTCCAATATTTGATCAATGAAGGGGAATGGGAAGTGACCTTTCCGGGTGGATTTATTCAATTTTCGATAATCAATGCACATTCTCCACCTGGTGACCAACCTTGTAGAAATGGTCTCACCCTTATCATTTTTTATGATGGTCATGCCTCCCTTTTTAGGCACAACTTGAAACGGGCTAACCCACTTACTATCGGAGATAGGGTAGATTATGCCCGCTTCAAGAAGTTTTAAAACTTCTTTTATCACCACCTCCTTCATGTTTGGATTGAGCCTTCTTTTGTGCTCAATCGAGGAAGCATGATCATCATCAAGTAGAATTTTATGCATGCATATGGTGGGACTTATCCCCTTAAAGTCATCAATTTTGTACCTAATGAAATCTCTATACTCTCTTAAAACAACTAGGAGTTTCTCAAGAGAGGTGTCATCGAGTTTAGCATTGACAATAACGGGATAACTTTCACTATCATCAAGAAAAGCATACTTAAGTAGAGGGGGAAGGGGTTTAAGTTCAACCTTAAGTGGAGACGTAGTCCTCTCCTCTTTTGCTTCCACGTTAAGCACTTCAAATTTCATCACATCGTGGATCTAAGGTTGGTTGAGCAGTAGATCATACCCCTTTGCTTCTTCACCCTCCTCAACTAAGCCTTCCGTTAGGGTAGCTTGTAAAGGATCTCTTTCATATAATCTTTCTCGAAACTCTTCTAAGTCCCTCTCCAATGTGTCAATTCTATGAACCTCATCAATCAATTTGTGAGAATGAAAATGAAATTTTCTCATCTCCCACGTTCAAAGTCAATCTTTCTTCCTTCATATCAATCACCACTCCCACGGTGTTCAAAACTGGTCTCCCCAAGATGAGGGGTACTCTTGTATCCTCTTCCATCTCCAATACCACAAAATCACATGGCACAAATACTCTTCCAACTTGAACCAGCACATCTTTAAGAATTCCCAAAGGTAGCCTAACCGTGCGGTCGGCTAATTGTAAGGACATTCTTGTTGGCTTCAAGTCTCCAACTTTCAAGCTCTTTGCAATAGAATAGGGCATCAAGCTCACACTTGCCCCAACATCACAAAAAGCATCCATAGCTTCCAAATCTCCAATCTTCATCGGTATTGCATAGCTATTGGGGTCACCAAGCTTTTGGGGAAGCTTGTTTTGAATGATTGCATTCACCTCCTTAGGAAGGGAGATGGTTGCACTCTCTTCAAGCCTACTCTTGTTGGATAGAAGATCCTTCAAAAAAATTTCATAGGTAGCCATTTGTGACATAGCATGAAGAAAGGGGATGTTCACTTGAAGTCCTCTCATGACTTCAAGAAATTTTGAAAACTTCTCATTCAACTTCTTCTCTACAATTCTATGAGGAAATGGAATGGGGGGCTTATATACTCTCATGGGGGGCTTTTCTAGTCTCTCTTTATCTCCCTCATCTTTCTTTGTGGCTCCCTCATCACTCTTTTGTTCTCTTTTCTCTCAACTTCAACTACTTAATTTTCAATATCATCGTCACTTCTCATCACAACTCCCTCATCTCTCTTTTGTGGCTCCTCCTTCACTCATAACCGAACCCACATAACCTCTTCCCGATCTCAAGGTAATAGTCTTAGCTTGCTCCTTTGGGTTCACTACCGTTGAGCTTGGAAAGTGACCACTAGGATTGGAGGATGAACTTCCAACTTGTTGTGCAATTTGAGCCAATCAGCTCTCAATTATCTTATTGTGCGCTTAAAGTTGTTGGATGTTTACATTCATATATGCATTGTTCCTTACTTGTTGTGTCATGAAAGTTTCAAGAACGGATTCAAGGCTAGTCTTTTGAAGAGGTGGAGGAGGAGAAGTGGGTTGGTTATATTGTGGTCTTTGTTGGTTTTGATCCCTTTGGTTAGGATGGCGATATGGAGCTTGCTGGTTTTTAGTATGGGGTTGGTTGTAGTGGTTTTGAGGTTGGTTTTGATTTTGGTTGTAGTTGTTTTGTGGGGGGGCCTTGGTTGTGTTGCTTCCATCCCGTGTTTTGTTGGGGTTTTCAACTTTGGTTGTAGGATTGGAAGTATTGCTCATTTCTTTGCCCAATTTCTGCCGCTTACTCTTGATTTGTTGAGTTGCAATAAGAGGACAAGTGATCATTTCCTCCACAAGTCTCACAAGACATGACTTGTGTGGAAGAGCTTGAGGGTGTGAGGGTGGTGCAATAAAGTCTATTGCACTAAGATCATGGATTCCACCCTTCTTTGTTTGAGGTTGCCTTCGATCACCTCCATATGCATAATGCTTGGCCACTTCCTCAATCATCTTATATGCATCATCCACCGATAGCTTTTTGAGGCTACCACCAGCCCCGGAATCAAGGTTGGCCCTTGAAATAGGAGTAAGACCGTCATAGAAGCTTTGTACAATAATCCATGATGTAAAACCATGGTGGGGGCATTTCCTTGTGTAATCTTTAAAACGTTCCCAAGCTTCACTCAATGTTTCATCAATGTCTTGATTGAAATTGGTGATCTTTCTTCTTAATTCGGCAGTCTTTTCCGGAGGACAATACTTTCCAAGAAAGGCTCTAGTGATTTCTTCCCATGTACTTAATGATCCCTCTTCAACCGTTCTCAACCAATGCTTTGCTTTATCACGGAGGGAGAATTGAAACATGTACATACAGATAAACTCTTCCGAAATGTTGTTTTGCTTGATGGTTGTACACAAGTCAAGAAAGTTTTCCAAATGAGCAAAGGGACACTCATGAGGACTGCCTCAAAATTGATCGCTTTGAATCATGCGGATGAGTTGAGGTGAAAGCTCGAAGTTGTTTGAATTTGTGGTGGGGAGACATATGCCACTCCGAAGTTGGAATGCATTGGGGTGGTCATAGTTGTAGAAAAGGTGGAGGAGGATTCTCTCCCATGTTATCTTCTTCGTTGGTTCTAGAAACCTCTTCTGGATCGAAATCCGAATATACAATAGAGAACTCGGGTGTGCCTTGCAAAAGTCTCCTCACATTTCTCAAAGTCCTATTTAGCTCTGGATCAACGGGAATAAGCGGTGATTGCTTACTCTTTCGTGTCATGCAAAGTCAAACAAAGCTAACAAAAACGTTAGCAATGACTATCACAAGTTAAACACACATAAACAAAAATTAAGGTAAGAAAACTATTATACATATACACACATTTAGTCTCATTCAACAATAATATATTTAATGTGACTTTACCTCCTCGGCAACGACGCCAAAATTTTGATAGGCCGTCGTCGAGCCTACCAAAATAAATCATATTTTGGTTTCACTAACTAATAGCAAGGGTAAGAAAGGGTCGAACCCAAGAGAGGCGTTGAATCAACCACCGAGATACTACTGTTCAATTAAGGTAAATGAAGTCGAAATTGGTTTGGTTTTAAGTAACTTCTACTAGTTTAAAACAACTAAAAGCTAAGGGAAGATTAACAATATTAATAGGAATCAGGGCTCGGGTTATACCACTCAACTTCATTACAAATCACAATTAGCATGCAACAATCAAAGTCAAAATAGGAGATAAAGTAGGGGAAGTCATCTAAGGCACCCAACTACTCTCTCAAGCTAGAGGGATTACTTGAATCATAAATACAACCTACTCTTGTGGTTACAAAGCATAAAACAAGTGTTAAAGCATAATCATGATGACATAAACATTCCCTTGACCGGAAATTCCTATTCTTATGGCATTTCAAGTCAATTAAGCATAAGGGAGCTAAGTCAAGTTCATCTCTCGATCCTTCGTTAAGAAAGCTTGGACAAATAGTTCTAGCAATGGCCATATACAAGAACTAAACAATTAAACCACTTAGCTCAACTAATTAACATCCCACAATAACAAAATTAGCACATGCAACTAGTTATTAGTGACTAAATTGAGGGTTTTACCCAAACCCTAGAAATTAGACTACTCACAATCCATGGAAATTAAAGCAATTAAAGATTTCAAGCAATTCATGAACAAGTTTAAACTAAGAATTAAAATAATTAACAATCTAAGCATACAAGAATTAAGCAAGTAATTAACAACTAAGTAGATAGAAATGGAAGAGAAGAGTAAGAAATAGTTACTTTGAAGCTTTAAAGTGAGCAACAATGGTGGAACTTGTCTTCTACATTGATTGAATTGAAATTTCCAAGATTAAAAACTAAGAACTAAGCAATGATTTGAGAGTTTTTGATGGTCTAAATTACAAACTAAGAGAAATGACTATAAAAACTTCAATCTCCGTAAAAATGAGCTCAAGGGGGGTATTTATAAGACCCCTAAATAATAAGGACGGAGAAAACAAGAATCGGGCTCGACTGCAGGTCTGCACGGACGTGCCACCCTATGCACGGCCGTGCAGAGCAAGACAGTAGCTACTGTTTGGGCTGGAAATCCTGCACGGACGTGCCAAGTATGGCACGGACGTGCAGGCCTTGTATTGCAGAATCAGTAGCTACTGATTTGGGCTGGGCATTTTGCACGGACGTGCAGACTTCTTCACGGACATCTTGGGTATCTTGCACGGATATGCATGCTCTAAAACCCTTAGGCAGAAGGTTCTAATCCTACTGGAGCACTCCTGCACGGACGTGCAAGGTCTGGCACGGCCGTGCAGGGTCTTCTATGTCCTTTTCTTCCCCTTTTCTTTGGTTTTTCTCCTTTCCTTGGCATCTTTCCATCCTCTTCTTACTTCTAACCTCGGTTTATTATCCATAGGCTTCATTTGGTCGTCTTTGGACCTAAAATCTCAACAAAAAGCACTAACAACCCGTGAAGCATAGGATACACAAAAATTGCATAATAATAGAGTAAAAGTGAACCAAAACACAAATTTATCAAGTAAACAAAGTTCAAAAACACCCTAAAATCATATCAAATAGCAAGTTATCAACAACCGATTTAGGTTCCTTTTTAATCTTGCTGTTAATCGAAGTGATCACTAATTTTTAGAATTATGCGTGCATTAATAATTTAGCCTAATTTAGTTTGGATAAAATTGAATCTTTGTTTATATGCTTTTGAGATCATATGAAATACTTTTCGCAATAAAATTCGAGCAGAGGCTTATACGGGTGAAGTGGCTTCCATGACTCACTTCGTACCATCATCCTCGATCCTCTTTTCGTGGTTTCAGACCATATGGAGTTATTAATCTCATGGATTATGAATGAGGTGTAAATTTCATGGGTCAATCGTTGTTTCCTATTGTTATCCCTTTTCGTGGTTGCCTTTTAATAATTCGTGAACGGTTTACAAGTTCCTTAAAAAACTTGTTGGCGGCTCCCTAATTTATTTGTCCCTAATCGTATATGTCAAATCCCACTTCCTATGATTTCCAAGCATATTCACAACATACTTAAGTAGGCGCGCTTTGAATGACGCCTACAGGTGTTTCTTTCGAATACTAGATTGAAAAGGCATGAGCTTGAAAAAATAAAAAATAAAAACTAAATTTTAACTATGCTTTTGTGGTGGAGTGTGAAGGCGAAGGTAGGAGGAGAAGGGGCGAGTTAGCGCTATTGTGGAATAATTCAATAGATGTGGATGTCCAATCCTATTCACAAAATCACATTGATGTTTAGGTGTAGTCGGCCTTCCATGAAGGGTGGAGATTTACGGGTATTTACGGTTATCCTGAAGATGATAATAAACATATGATGAGTTTACTGATGAGGACTTTGATGGATTCTCAAGGGAAACCGCGGCTATGTGGAGGTGACTTCAACCTTATGATGCTATCTAGTGAGAAGCAAGAGGGTTGTGATTTTTGTAATGAGGAAGCAGACATATTGCGAGGAGATGTGAATTTCTTGTAGGTGATAGACTTTGGGTATATTGTCCATGACTTCACTTGGACCAACAATCGTGGAGGCAATAAAAATATTCAAGAAAGACTAGAAAGATACCTCGCAAATTAAGCTTGGAATTGCTTTCCGGGCTCCTTTGTCACGCATTTGTCCAAAGGGAGATCTGACCACCTTCCCATTCTTTTGTGTGTTAAGGAAGCGTTGAGTACTCCACGGAAAAAAAAGAAAAAAAATAAGGATGTATCGCTTTGAAGAGATATGGTTGAGATATGAAAATTACGATGAAGTAGTCTCTTATGCGTGGGAAGAGGGGCGATTATGCTCAAAAATCGCCTTTACTTCGACTCTCTTGAGTGCTTGGACTAGAGTGAAATTTGGAGATTTTGTTAAAGAGATGAAAGCTTGTAGATTGAAGATAGAGAGTCTCATGAGTGAGAACCAAACGGAGGAGGTGATTGCTCAAATGCGTGCCTTAGATGACCGGATGGATGAATTGGAGAGAAAGGAGGAGATGTTTCGGAAGAAAGGGAGCCATCAAGAATGGTTGAAGAATAGAGATAAAATTCTATTTTTTTCCATATGAAAGAAAAGCATA